AGAGAGAGAGAGAGAGAGAGAGAGAGAGAGAGAGAGAGAGAGAGAAACTGATGAAAAAGAGGTGACTGTATTTCTCCAGGCATAATTGTCCCAACTCTACCCCAAAATTAAGGGATTCCAGGGTTGTAAAAAAGGAGGGTTTTTTTTTTTTAAAAAAAATCAAGAACTGGAGAAGGGAGATAAGCCAAATGCCCTGTGATTCTCACCCAGGTTTCTTGACAAGATTATAGAAGCACTCTCTAGTCTGCAATCCTGGTCTTCCTTCATGGTCTTCCACCCAGCTCCTAAACACGTCCAGTCTAGGACCAGTAGTAGTGAGCTACCCAAAAAAATGTAGTTTCCTTTCCTACAACTTTTTGCTTCCATCTCACAATCATCTGCAGTTTCGCAGCCCAGGTCTGGAAGCCCAGAGCAGTAACAGTGCTTGAGGTCTTCTCCTATATGGAGTTTGTCCCATTCTTACTTTTGCTGTGAGATTCAGATGCTTAAGAACAATTAGCTTTGTGACCTTAATCCTGCAATCTGGGAAACGAGCTCTCACCTAAGAAGAAACCTGGCTTTGGTCCCTTCTCTTTGCTCTTTCTCTGATTGGTGGCCAGATGCTTGGGTTTTGTTTATTTGTTCATTTTAAGGAAATTAGCCAAGTTAGGTAGAACCCTCAAAAATCCCTTAGTTGAATTCCATCTAATTTGGCAAATGAATTCTAAGAAGTTGAGAAGCTGCACAGATGTCACCCATGTTATTCATCAGGGGTTGATCCTGATCTTGAAGAGACTTTCTTTTCAAGTTGTAGCAGATGGCAGCTCCTAACCAACATTGGCTGATCTCCCAAAGCTAAGCAGAGTCAGGGCCACTTGGCAATTGGATGGCATCCACCAGGAAATCCCTAGACTGTAGGCTGAATTGAGAAGTTGGAAACCATCCCAGCAGGTGGCAGTGAGAAACTACATCAATATCTTGGCTGAGAAATAGGAATTGAGCTTGACTCAAAGAAGATTTAGTCTAAAGAAAGTTAGGTTTCCATCTCACTTGTCCATCCTTAGAAACATTTTAAAATGGATCCAACCTTAAAGACTTGCTGCCTTGATCTCTTGCAACAGGACTTCAAGGACCACCAGGTCCCCAAGGGCCAGTGGGAAAACCTGGTTCTCCTGGGACCAAAGGAGATAGGGGTGCCACGGGTGAAAAGGGAATAAAAGGCGATAGTGGTCTCTCAGGTGAGTGAGATGAATGTTGCTTCCTTGTTAAAATTTCATTAAACAGCATTTGTTTTGAGTCAGTCCTTTTCATGTCATTGTGACAACCTTTCAGTGTCCTTTTTAGAGAAGACGTGGTTAATATTTGAGATCAATCTGTTTGATGTTTCCATCAACTTATCTTCGATGTATTAGTTGGTAATACTAATACATTAATAATAATTAATTAATTAATGATAATAAAGGGACGTGGTGGCTCTGGGACCAAGACACTGAGCTTGTTGGTCAGAAAGGTTGGCAGTTCGGCGGTTCAAATCCCTAGCGCTGCATAACGGAGTGAGCTCCCGTTACTTGTCCCATCTTCTGCCAACCCAGCAGTTCGAAACCATATAAAAAATGCAAGTAGAAAAATAGGGACCACTTTGGTGGGAAGGGAACAGTGTTCTGTGTACCTTTGGCATTTGATCCTGCTGGCCACATGACCACAGAGACATCTTCAGACAAGGCTGGCTCTTCGGCTTTGTAATGAAGATAAGCCCCTAGAGCCAGAAATGACTAGAAGATATGTGTGAGAGGAACCTTTACCTTTACCTTATTAGTTGGTAACGGGATGGTTGAATCACCTATATTTTCAGCAAGGAAAAGGCACATGGGAAAAGAAGTCAATGTTTGGATTAGTCAACAGCTATCAGGCGCAAAGGTTCAGGTCCATATGTTAAATTGAAGTTCAAAAAAGATTTATCGCTCGAGTATGCACAACAATCTAGTCAACTAAAATTGAAGGTTAACTTGGCATCAGCTAAGGGTCAACAGAATTCAATAGGCATTGGATTTGTGGCAATGTACCTACTCTAAGCTGATGATGCATTTAACTCCACCTCCCAGTTCTTTTCCCTGCTCTTCTCCTACGTCGGTTTTATGCCAGTGTCTTCCTATTTATGATGCTATGGGCCGATATGGTGCAGATTGTCATCATCTTGTTCTCTCTTAGAGGTCAATCTTTTGAAGACTAAAGTTAGCGCACTGGAAGGACAGCTGAAATCTCTGCAGGCCAGCTTTTCCAAATACCAAAAAGGTAAAAATGATGTCCAGAATCTACAAATCCCTCTGGATGAATTTGATCCCTCAGCAAAGAGTTAATGTATTAGAACAACTAAGGCATATCTGCAGGTGTACTGCAACACATTAGAGGTGGTATTTAGCAGGTTCTGACCAGTTCTGGAGAACCGGTAGTGGAAATTTCGAGTAGTTCAGAGAACCAGAAAATACCACCTCTGACTAGAGATTTTACAGTATTCTTCCCCTGCCACGCCCACTAAGCCACGCCCACAGAACCGGTAGTAAAAAAAATAAAAATGAATCCCACTAATGAACAGCACCGTTTTGCCCCAAACTACTGTAGAAAGCTTGTCAGAAGGTGTTAATATTTGGGAAGGTGCTACTGCCCCATATTGGCAAATTATTCACAAGTTGAAGATACTCAACCTCTTTAATCATTGGGGTTGTGTAAGTATCAAAGGGATGCTTCATTTCAAAGAAAGGTCATGAAAAGCTTCCATCTTGTTCCATGGAGCAAGGATCCCCTACAAGACAATCTCTTGCATTTTCAATAACAAGTGTGCAAGGGAAGCAGATGAGGTAGAGTAAAACAACATTATTTCCAAGGAACAACCAGGTTTCTACACTTACTCCTATCAGTGCAGTGATGAATTATTGCACATATACTTATTCTACTGTACAACACAGTGGATAAAATGAATTTGCAAGGACACTGTAAAGTTGCTTCCTGGGAAGATAATCCTCGTATTTACAAAGATTTATAATGAAAGAGTGAAAAAAAACCCCTAATTTTATTTTATTTATTTATATTTATATGTTGTACTTATTAACTGCTCATCAATGGTTTGGACGTATCTCCAGTCCTTGCCACTTTTGTTTAATTTTAAGTTGATTTTAATATTTCTTATTTTAATGTATTCTCCGGTTGTAAGCCACTTAGAGGAGCCTCTAGCCAAGATGGGTAGCATATACATATAATAGCTATGCAAACCATGGTATTTCTGGACAAACCACTGGAAATTTCCCAAGGCCGGGATGATTGGGAAAAAGACATATTGCTAACAGCAGTATTTTAAGAGCCAATGATCTCTTCCTATGGCAAGTTGACCTCGTATCAGTTTGCACCAGTGTAATCATTTACTACACAACGGCTGATGTTGATGCTGACCTAAGAATGCCCCTTTTTTATTTTTGTTCATTCTAGTTACCGAATTCCCAGGCGGACGCACAGTAGGCAGCAAAGTGTTCAAAACCAGCGGCTATGAAGGCAACTTCGATGACTTGAGGCAGAGGTGCGCACAGGCCGGAGGCCAGCTCGCGACCCCGAGAAATGCCGCGGAGAACGATGCCATCCAAAAGATTGTGTTGCTCTACAACAAAGCGGCCTTCCTTGGCATAACTGACTTAAAGACCAAAGGGACCTTTAAGTACCTGAACGATCAGCCGCTCATTTACATCAACTGGTTGCCCGGGGAGCCCAACAATAGTGGCGGCAAAGAGAATTGTGTCGAACTCTTTTCGAATGGAAAATGGAACGACAAATCCTGTGGGGAAAAAAGGCTCCTGATCTGTGAATTTTAGACCCGTCTGTCATGCAGCATTTCGATCCAGGGAGGCTGCAAAGTTTTAATACCATGTTTGCTTCTTATCTATAGGCATTAAGGAAATCATGACTTAGCTAATCCTCCCTAAATTCTAGAGAGGGGGGAACTCTTGATTTCATGCATGCAATTAAAATAACTTCACCACCAAAGCCAGTTCCCAGGTATACTTACCACCTAATGAAGTATATAATTGAGTTTCCTAATATCTTATAGGTGAAAAAGTTCATGGGAGGCTCACTGTCACAGAGGGATACAATCAAGTTCAAGGGAGGTACTACTACCACTCTATAAGGCCTTGGTAAGACCACACCTAGAGTATTGCATCCAGTTTTGGTCACCACACTATAAAAACAAGGTTGAGGCTCTAGAAAAAGTAAGAGAAACCAGGATGATTAGGGAACTGGAGACTAAAACAGACCGAGAACACTTGCAGGAAGTGGGCATGACTACTCTAGGGAAGAGAAGGACCAGGGGAGACAGTATAACAGTCTTCCAATATTTGAGGGGATGCCACAGAGAGGAGGAGGGGTCAAGCTATTTTCCAAGGCACCCGAAGGCCAGATAAGGAACAATGGATGGAAACTGATCAAGGAGAGATTCAACCAGGAAATAAAGAGAAATTTTCTGACAGTGAGAGCAATCAACCCCTGGAACAGAAGTTGCCTTCAGAAGTTGTGGGAGCTTCATCACTGGAAACTTTCAAAAAGACACTGGACTGCCATCTGTCTGAAATGGTGTAGGGTTTCCTGCTTGGGATGGGGGGTGGACTAGAAGATCTCCAAGGTTCCTTCCAACTCTCTTAATCTGCTTATCTGTTACCATCATCTTCATACCAAGGTTCCTTCCAACTCTCTTAATCTGTTTATCTGTTACCATCATCTTCATTGTAGTTAGAAATATGCAAGCAGAAACTCTCCCTATGTATTTGTAAATGAACACAGCCTGTTTGTAAAAGTAGGAAGCAGATAGTGCTGGTTGGTGGAGATTTCATTCTGGTGGGGAATCACAAACGAGATGGAGACAAATATTCTAATTCATCCACACAGCCATTTTATGGGTTTGTTCAAAGGACATGTAGATGCTAGAACTTGTTTGTTTGCTTGCAGACGTTTCATGACCCACCTAGGTAACATCATCAGTGCTAGAAGTAAGTGAGATTTGCTCTCTGTTGTGGCTTGCCCTGTCAGTGTGGGTGAGAGTGGTGGTCATGGTGATTTTCTGAACAAGACTTTCTGAATCCGATGGCTATTCCACCTTGCAAAAGAAACTCAATTTGTGGTAACTGATCATTTGGAAGGGGATTGGATGCAAGAAAGGTGCCTTCAGCATTCATAGCAGTCAGGCTTCGTGCATACATCTGATTATCCCAAACCTATCAGTCAATAGGTCAAAAACAACACATAGAAATCAATACCTGGTTACTCTTATGAGTTATGTTGGTTTGAATCTCTTTTATTCTTTGAATCTCTTGGATTCAAAGAATGGTTCTAGCCATGCATAGCTGCTTTCCATAGCAGGAATATATATTGTGTGGGTCATATATATCCACCCATGTTGTATGGCTGTAGCATTATTATTATCCTTCTCATCTTCTCTACTATCCCCTCTTATTGGTATCATTATCATGACTATTATTAGTCTGTGGCTTTGCATGTACACTAAGAGCTTCTGCACTGGAGACAAATTCCTTCTGTATCTAATCACACTTGGCCAAATTAAATATTCTAAAGTATTCTAATTCTTTCTAGCCTAGCTATGAAAGGCTCTGTCTAATTTTCTGAAAGGTTATCAGGTGGATTCCTGGCGTTTTGGCTATCATGCAAATGTTTTTAATTGCCACTAGTCCTAGTTTATTTCTGTTTTATTTGTCTTTCCATTGTTACTTGCCAAAAAACAATGGTGTCTCCTTGACCTTCTTTGACTTCTGAAACATTGTGATCCGCATAGAGAGTATATTAAAGGTGGTATTCAGCAGGTTCTGACCAGTTCTGGAGAATGGGTAGCGGAAATGTTGAGTCGTTTGGAGAACCAGCAAATCCCACCTCTGACTACTCTTCTCTGCCTCCCATTGAGTCCCAGCTGATCGGCTGGGTCTCCTTTTGTTGCCCTGCACAGGAGAACAGAGCTGGAAAGTAGGTTAGTGGGGTGGGGATGGAATGAGATTTTGCAGTATCCTTCCTCTGCCATACCCCACCAAGCCACACCCTCCAAGCCACGGCCACAGAACTGGTAATAAAAAAAATTGAATCCCACCACTGGAGCATATGCTCAAGAGAAGACTAAAAGTTCAGAAGCAACCTAGAACTAAGGAGAAATTTCCTAACAGTGAGGACAATTAACCAGCGGAACAGCTTGCCTCAGCTTGAAGTTGTGGGTGCTCCATCACTGGAGGCTTTTCAAAAGAGACTGGACAGTCATTTGTCTGAAATGGGACAGGGTCTCCTGCTTGAGAAGGGGGATTGGACTAGAAGACCTCCAAAGTCCCTTCCAGCTCTGTTATTCTGTTCTGTTCAGTTAGCTCTGGACAGAAAGTGGGTCAAGAAAAGAATCAGATCCAGATACAATATTTCCTGCATATCTCCACCTGATCTACAATTCCTCTCCCTTCATTGTAATTTTCTTTTTAAAAAGCTACCCAGGAGAACTCATCAAATGTGGCCCTCAGAGGTACAGTAAGTGAGGCTGAACTAGTTGGATTGATATGCCTGTTGGCAAGTTTGGATCATATGCACAACTGAACAATTAGAAACTACTTACAGTGGCCGTTCAATTTGCACATTTTCTCTTGGCAATTATCCATCTTACCTGGGCCAGGATGAAAATGACACAGAGACTGCCTGCAAGACAGAAAACAGCTGTGACCTGCTATCTTGTTCAAACATCTTGTGGAAATTAAACATACTGAAGTGTGAAATTGGTTGATGCTGTCACTTCACACACTTTCTCTGAGCCTTCATTGGAACATGTGCCATTGTGGTGTGATCACATTAATTACTGAACACATATTGATTTCAAGCTATCTATCTAATTTATATATTTTTTCTGCTCTTCCCAGCACACTCATTATTCTGTGCATGCATTTTACTTGGATCATTTTAGCCTGTGTTAAGAATCATGCCCCATGCTTTTAAAGCTACACAGAGTCAACCTGCAATAGAATAGTAAGAATTCATTCCCTCTGGATTTTAGGTTTCCTTAGTTGTGGTGTTCTTATAAAACAAGAGCACTGATTGGCACAGATGTGAAAATGTCACCCAAGCAAGTCCTTTCTTTTCTGGCATCACTCTGGACCTGGTCCTACAGGAGAGGAATGGGAAATGCAGGTGATGGTAGTTTAATATGAATAATAATATTTTTTTTAAAATGAAAGGAGAAAATGAATTACCTCTGGCTAATATGATTAATAGAGATTGAACAGAGAAAATGTTTTAGTTGTCAGTGTTCCAACTAACCAACTCCAAACCAATAAACTCTGAGACAAGCATTTTTTCAAAGTTCCATTTTTATTAGAATTGTCATATTGGCACATCTGGGAAAACCCAAATCTGAGAGCTCCAGGTTTTCCTTTCCCAAAAGAAAAAAGATTAAAGATCCCTCCCCTGCACCCATCAGTCCATCACATGGTCCAATCAAATCTTCATCCCAACTGGAGACCTTCCTCCAGACATTCCTCTCCAGGTGAAGGGCAACTTGTCCTTGACTTTCTGTGAAAGAATGTTGTTGAGTCTAATCTTCTACCTCTCTATGAAATCCCCCTTCCCAAATTCCCAGGCACTAAATGTGGCCACCTCGAAGCTTCCAAGTAAAATATGGCTTCCAAGGCTGACATTAGTTTTTCAAAAATAAATATTTTCACCAAGTACTATGCAACATTTCCATAATTCCCCCTGAAGTCACTGGATTGTCACTGGATTGAAGGCTTCTGAACTGTTACGGTATCATTATCCAGCTTCTACTAATGGTGCAAGAATCATTTCCTTAATGTAGTCACAGCAATTGGAACATTCATGAAATCTCCTATTAAGAGGTGAACTACGGTTTTGCTGCAACTCCCCCACCTGCCTTGTGCTGTGCAGAGAAGAAAACAAAGTAGGAAGTCCGGCCATGTCCTTTCACTTCAAATATTGTGCCAGAATGCTCAAGTGATTTGACCTAAAGTAAGAGGGTTCCACTTCTGTCCTCTTCAAGGCCTATGAGCAGCTTGAAAGCCATACCAGCCCAAGTGTAGCTCTTGAATGTCATGTTTCAAAAAATGCACATGGGGCATTCAGGAGCTTTAAGAGATGAAATGGATGCAATTTTTTTTTTTTTTACAAAACTTAAAGTATCCATGGTTTGCTAAGAAAGAAGGGGGAAGGGAGGAAGAAAGAGAGAGAAAGAGATGAACTGGCTGGCCCTAGTCTTATGTTACTCTCCATGGCTGGCTTCACAGATTCTGTTTTTCTCTTTGCTCATTTATTCTCAGTTGGCAAACATGTTGGCAGGAAGCTATTTGAATCTAATTGCTTTCCAGGCATCTCTGAAGCTTGAAAAACAACCAGCACCTGGGCTGGTGGTCAGCTTGCTTCCCCCAGGACTCTCAGAGAAAACACAGCTGTCCAGGAAGCAGCCTTTAGCCCCACAAAGGTAGCAGATCTGGGAATGAATGACAAGCAGGGAGAAAACAGCTCTGAATCTATTGACAATGGCCCGAGCAGATACATATAAGCTGGGCAAATAAAGAACCCAACCATGCCAGTGGAAAATAAAAGTGTATGGCATTTATCTGGAGACCATTGGAGTGGCAGGTTCTGCTCTGAAAGATAATTACATGTGTGTGGATCTCAATCTCATGGCTACAGTCCAAGGGCATGGTTCTCATCTTGACTTCATTCAACATTTAGAAATGTGTGTAATGGTAGCTCTGAACATCTATGGAGATTCTAAGTCCTACTCCCACGCCCTTCAAAGGGTCTTCATCCCAAATTGTATAGCT